GGCTATATGCGGGATAATTTTAATCATAGTAATAAGCCAATATCTTATGCACAACATTTCCAGAATAGCCGGTATGTTGAATCTATTCTTGATGTTTACTGGGAACTACCTCCAGTTGCTGGTCCTTCTCTCACCCATCAAACCAGATATGATCCTGCTCGTACACCCACTCCTATTGTTGAAGATGGTCGGTATGGCTTGTTCCAAAGGCTAGGTTTGGCCAACCTTGACAAATCTGTATTTAATGGATACACTCAGATGGTTTATTTAAAGATATCTGAACAATAATTTAGAGCTGTTTAGACAAGGATATGATATAGTGAAGGAAGTTTTGTACCTGTATTGTGCATGAATAGATTCTTCTGCCTGATTTGGCATAAGATGTAGTTTTATTAATTCTTCTTGGCCGTTTACTTTTGAAATTAAAGTTATCCTTACTCAATGATGAATTCTTTCTAATTTGGTTGTCACTTGTTCACGTAACTTTGTTACCATTGTTCTCATTGGTCTGAACTTATGTTACCAGTTTCTAGGCCGTCATGATGAGTAAATGTAAATCTATCTTTGTAGTTTGATTTAGATCCAAATTTCATAGTAAAAACCTAAGAAGCACAAACGCCTTTTTGAAATTGTGTGGCACTATTCCGACACGAATGCATCTCTAATCGTGTTTTGAACTAGTCACTATCTATTTTTCAACCACCACACATTCCATCGTCAAACTACCAATGTTTGACGTATGTTTTGTCTTCCTTTGCTCTCTTCTTTGCTTCTACAAACATTATTCTCATAAAACAACCTTTGTTCAGCCAGCCAACAAACCAGTGTGCTGGTGTTGAATAAAAATTAGTATTTGATGTTAAAACAAGGTCTTCGTATGTACCACATGTACATCTTATAGTAGATAAGTGAGCCATTTTAGATTCCCAATTGATCTTCTATAGCTTGCAAGACCTTAAATGATATGCAATGGCCCCTCCTCCCGAGATAGCTTAGCTCTTGCTACAAATGCCAAAAGGGGCATATAATATTTGGACTGAATAAGATAAAGAGATAACATAAATCGTTTGTCATTTTTACTAAACAAATGTTATTTGGGCTGAATATCATGTAAGTGGACAATTTTTTAAATATTTATGGGATTGAACAAATCGTGTTTGGAAACACGATTTTAAAATGAAGAAATCTTTCAGAAGTGCACCAGATTTTGAATATTGAAATTTTCAGTTTAATGTACTGAGTTTACTTTTTCAATTTTGTTATTATAAAAATCGTGGATTGAATTATAATTTCAATGTCTTTAAGAATAATTTAAATATATCTTTATTTTTTTATAGATAAAATTATGACAGAGGTTTAAGCTTTAAATTTGACAATATTTCAAATGCGATAATTGATCCTATCTCAACAAATTTGAAATTCACAAACAAACATTCATTTTCCAAGAGAATTAAAATCTTATTTTCCTTAGTTTTCAACTGAAAAAAATCAAAAGGTGATTTCAAAGATGAACCTTGCATTTTTCTTAAATTTCAATTAGGGAACTTGCTTCTCTTTGTTTAACAATTCTGTATCGTTTAAGAGTTGTGATAAAAGATATTTAAATATATTTTCTTCTCTTAATTCTATGTCTTTTAAGAATAAGACCATGATGATATTTTAAACTCTAAAACACATTATCTTAAATTAATCATAATAATATTATCTGAATGAACTTGGAGTTAAAACATCATTTATTTTTCTTGAAAACAAACTTTATTTTGTAATTATTGTTTGGAACTCTGCATGTAAGGAAATACGCTTTGTCAATAGAACTAGCAGCTGATCGGTGCAATAGTTTTGTGAAACACGTAAATAAATTCGCAGTTGAAGTTTCATTTTTCAGTTCATTCAAATTAGTCTGATATTCATCAATGAGTAATGGTAACTGTTACTTTGGATAATCATGCATGTTTTCTACAGAAAATTCAATGGGATGTAGTGCTTTTTAATTATTATATAACGATACTTTAATTTTAAAGATAATGTAACATGTGAAATTAAAACAAATAACTTATGAATCTACTCGAAAGTATAGTCTAATTACTAAAAAATTTCATTATACATATATATTATATATATATATATATATAGGGGTTTGCTAACGCGCGTACGCCTATTTTTCAGTTGGTACATTTTAGCAATGTGTACCGGGTTGGTTTTAGTAGACAAAAATATCCTTATATATCATGGATTCTAAGTTTTAAGGTTAAGGGTATTTTAATAATTTTCATTCTCAAAACTAAAAAAAAAAAAAAAAAAAGAAACCCCCAAACCCTTACTCACCTCTCTCATTCCTCTCAACCCTTTCTCTTTCCTCTTTCTTACTCCAACATTTTCTCTGTCATCCCTACTGTAGCCCCAATTGAAAAAATCAGAAACACTTAAAAAATTTTCCTTTGAAAAGAGTTGAGTCATTGACATATTCACCTTCAAGGCAAAAGTTCATTCAAGATCTCTTCAATTTCACCATCTTCACTAACCTCTCTAATTTCATCATCTGTATTTGTTGAATCATCATCTCTAAAAAAACCCTCCAGGCCAATTATCAATTCTTTCAGATGTCATTATGCTTGTGAAAATTACATAAAATTAGATAAGACAAAAATTATAAAATAAAAACTCATTATAAAATCATTTTTTGTAAGAAATTGTTTAATAGCGAGTATTTCTGATTTTTTCCAGGTCAATTACCAATTCGTTTATGCTTGTGAAAATTGGATAAAATTAGATAAGACAAAAATTATAAGATGAAAACTCATTATAAAATCATTTTTTTTAAGATTGTTTAATAGCAAGTGTTTCTGATTTTTTCAATTGGGGCTACAGTAGGGATGACAGAGAAAAGGTTGGAGTAAGAAAAAGGAAAAAGAAAGGGTTGAGAGGAATGAGAGAGGTGAGTAAAGATTTGGGGGATTTTTTTTTTTTTTAGTTTTGGGAATGAAAATTATTAAAATATCCTTAACCTTAAAACTTAGAATCCATGATATATAAGAATATTATTGTCTACTAAAACCCGATACACATTGCTAAAATGTACCAACTGAAAAACAGGCGTACACACGTTAGCAAACCTATATATATATATATATTATACACATTCATCATAAAATGGTGCTCATTAATTTGATAGTGAGAAACCCAATATTTTCTTCAACCTAAATAATAATTAGAATTATTTCATTATCCCATGTAAGATATCATGTGATACTTATTAAGAATTTAAGTTTAAGTGAACTTTAAATATTTGTAAATAAACTTTTAGGGTAACTTTTCTTTCTAGTATACCTCATGTTGAGCTATCTTAGTCACACACTTGTGGGATACTCTCTTTTATATTTCCTAAATAAAAAATGAAAGATGAATAAAAGTCCATAAAAAAAATATGATTACACGAGTCATAAAATAATAGAATTATATTAATTTTGTCTGGTACGTGAGATATTATGTGATAAGTAAACTTTAAACTTAAGTTAATTCTATAAAATCAGGTTTTAAAATAAAGTTTGTATCACTTATATTCTATAAATTAATTTTATCTTTAATCAATGTAAAACTTTTAATCATAGTATTAAACTATAATAAAAAACATAAGCAATAAATTTAAAAAAATTACATTATAACATTGAACTATATTAAAAAAATAAATAATTATTTTTTCAAATTAATCATAATACTTAACTATATTAAAAGGCTTAAATAATTAACTATAGTAAAGATTAAATCATATGTATTGAATTTGGAGGACAAATCAAACCATTTATAATAAAAATAGCAAATACTTCTAAACCTGATTTCTCATCAAGCCTTCTCAAATGATAGAATCTCTTATAAAAAATGTATGTATTAAATTTTGTTACGGACCATGTTCTCATATTCTATATATTAAATTTGTTATATGACAAGTTCTCATATTTTACTAACAATGCTCATTACTATGCTTGAATTAAATCAAGTTGGACACAAAAATAAACATATTTGTTAAATTTAAGATTTTTTTCATTAATGAAACAATAAAATCAGTATAAAAGAAAGAGAAAGTTACATAAGAAGGCTAATCATCTCCTAATTTTCTATCAGTCACATATTTATCAAGGTTGAGTGATGTTAAATATAACTCTTCACTAAATAAGGCAACTTGACTTTGATTTATGATTTTTTTGAAGCATTCTTCGTAACTAATTAGCAAATCCTTTTTAGCTTTCAAAATTTTGCTTTTAAATCCCTCAGAGCTTGAAGATTTTTCAATTTTCTCTTCAACATTAACGTTGATTTTAGAAACGAGAAAGACAATGTTATTCTTATCTTTTATCGAGATTTAAATCCAATCAAATAAGAAACTCTCTGTCCAAAACCTTAAAACAATAAATTAACGAGTCTTTAACGTTATATACTCTCCTTTCTCATTTTTATCCAATATAAAACTTAGACTCACACTAAAAATTATAACATATACAAGTTTCAGTTCAAGGATAATTTATATATATCCTCCCTTAACCACTAAAACACCTCTTCAAAACAAAATTGTACAAAATAGCGACAAATCATCATATGTACTAGTAATTATTATTTTAACTACAGAACGAGATTATCAGACTTCATATGGAAACAAAAAAAATATTAACTAATGACATAAAAATATTTACATGTGTATGACAATGAAATTTCTAACTTTTTGATTAAAGTTGCAAGAAATTACAAGCCAAAGCCCAACATTGGTGTAATAAAGAATTTATGACAACGTAGCAGTAACAGGCAGAGGTGTTCTTAGTTTCTAAAAGATTGATGAACCAGGCGAGGGCTCGTCTTATAACGATGTCGGGGCATAGTATAACATCCTTACTAACATTATCAGCCAAAGAGATAGATATGTTTATTACCACTTTAATATCGAAATACAAATGTTTAGTATGTATAATTAAGGCCAATACATGAAGAAAATTCAGAATAGATATAGGGAATGAAGAACACAACAAACAATTCTTTTATACAGCAACTAGAATCCAAAGATGCACAAACAAAATATGTGTATATATTTTCTGGATGTGTCCAGTTGAATTCTACTGATAAAACTTGTCAGACTATTAATGAACAAAAACTGAGACACTGAAAAACATATGCTTTTGATTTTGAACAGAACCATACACCCGAAATCCTTTGTATGTTTTTATATGCTTCAGTGAATAGCCCGCTTTGGTATAACGGGTTTTTTCTGCACTAGTTTTGGCTTCTAGATTTCTCCATGGCTCTTGGAGCTGCAATGAAGACGATTGAGAACATATTATAGGCAATTTTATTGTAACAAATATGCAGGAATTCATCCAAGAGAATTTAAACTTCAAACTGGAAATTACTGCACATGTAAATGCATGCTTTAAAACAGAAAAAAGACATACCTAGCCCAATTGCTTCAGAGCCTTTCATGATCCTTAGTCTCCGACATGAATCAGTGAACATCCTGCATTAACAAAGGAGAATTTTAACGAGTTCCACCATTCTACTATCATCACTGAAAAAAAAACACTTTTATACCGAAACATGGTTATAAAAATTATAATCATGGCAAGAGGAGAAATAGCTTACTCCCAAGGAACATCACCCACAAGCATCCAGTCTCCATCTTTATCTTCATATGTAAGAACATATTCAGATCCATGAAGAAGATCCCTCAGAGAGCTCTCACTTAGTCCATCTTTCCCAGGAAATCCAGGAGAATTGCATTGACCTAAGTATGTGAATAAGAAACTGTTAGGGTGCAAAGTGGTTATGCAGAATTTCAAAAGGGAAATATTATGGCTAAACAAGCAGCTTAGGCTCTTTCTTTCCTAGTAAAACTACACAGATGTTAAAATTCCAATTTTTAGGTTTAGCATACAAATTTTAGTGTTAATTAATTAGTTACAAAAAAAGGGCAAGGAATCAATTTTACATATATGATAAAAAATGGTCTGTTAAAAATTAAAATAAGTAGCTGAGGAGAGAATTTTAAGAAGGTGGAGATAGTACCAATGGTAAAGCAGCTGAACATCTTCTCAAGAGCTGAAGAAAGTTCCATGTAGTTGTTATAGGTTTTGAGATCAACCTTTCTAAGATAAGGAGCACCATCCATACTGACTTTTACATAGAGACAACCAAAACCAGATTTTCCCTCGCCTTCATCACTGTTTTTTGCCAGATTAGATGCCATCGTGTTCTTTCGGAAAGATCGAATTGGGGGCCACCCCACAACTTGTGCCCTGTTCCAGAGTGTTCATTTTCATTAGCACCAACGAAAACTTCCCCATAAATGAAAAAATTCATCACCCACTTCACGTTTTTGCATTACAAACAACATCTGACTGAAAATCAGGGATCTAAAATATGAAAACTTCTAATCACACAGTTAGTTTACACAAGCTTTAAAACCACGTTTGGCAGAGAGAAAGTTTAATATATTTTTCATCATAGGTATGAGTGAGTCTAACAGATTTAATACCAAATTTCAGAAGGCTAACATCTCCTTCATGCGTGCCAGTTCAAATCCTCTATAAGAAGGTAAAATAAAGTTATTGAACAGACAATTCCAGTTTCATGAATTGCTATATCTTTCAACAAAACCAAGACATGTAACTCAAACTCTTTTAAGCAAAAAGCAAACATGTGGATTAGGAAACAAAAAAATAATAAAAAGACACAAGAAGGATGCAAACAAACATACTTTGCATCAGAAGCACTGGCATGACCATCTGTTGCAGCAACCCGGTCATTCTTCTCCTGAACCGGTTTGGCAGATTGAGGAACTGCACCAACCTCTTTGATAGAGGTGTTAGCATGCGAGGTATTAGTTTGAGTGTCTAAAGCAATAAGAGGCTTCCCAACAATGCCCCCTCTGGGAGAGAACAAAGCAGCTCCTTGAGATCCATCGGTGACAGAAGAACCCCTTTTCCCAGAAGAAGCGTCAATAGCATCAGAGAATCCCCTCTTAGCCCCAGCCTTCAAAGGAGTTGCGACTGAACAAACATTATGCTTGTTCTGCAACTCTCTGCCAAAAAGACAGAGTCCAGGACCAGATTTTCTCTCTGGTGACTTGCAACCGGGGAGACCAAGCCTCAGTTCTGTCTCCTTCAAGTTCAGTGATGAGGTTTTACCATCCACAGAAGATGACGAAGAAGAAGAAGATAGTTTGTCAGAGCCTCCGTCCATTGACGGTTTCTCTGCCAACCCTATGTAGTCCTGTTCCAATGCTCTAGACATCAAAAACAGAAGATGATAGTATCCCAAATATGCAGAAGAGGTTTACGTGGGTGGAGTATTATAGTATAAGGTATATACTCTACAATAGGAAACAACAGAGGTTATGCAAAGCAGAGCTCGAAGAACAGCAGTTATGGTGTGATATCGACAGCAAGTGGCAGGAGCTGGTTTTGTTGATGCAGAAAAGAACCTTCCCTGCTCTTTCTCTGGTAAACTTTTTTCTCTCCAGTGCCAGAATAAAAAGAGAAAGAAAAAAAAAACCGTATTTTTATTATTTTTATTATTTATGTTTGATTTTGATTAGTATAAGGATTTGGAGCGACAGGTGGAAGTGTTCGCCGGCAACCTTTTACAGTGAGTGAGGAGAGGGAAATAAAGAAAGAAAAGTGGAATTATTAATTATTATAAGGTTGAAGGTATGTGAGGTTAAAGAGGAACAGTGGCGGTGCATATTCATCCACGCCCGTATCGTACTGTAATAATTGTAAAGATCCTCAAGTGGAAAGATGAGATCCAACGGTGTAGGTCTCACTATAGGGTTGTTGGGAGACAAAACGGGGTTCAGTTGTTGGCTTTGCCCTTCACTTTCTTTTTCTTTTTGTTTTTTGACAGAGTAAAAGCTTTATCATATTATATCATTTCATAAATTAAATTAATGTCTTGTCTGTCTTCCTCTCTCTCTCATGTCTGCCTCACTTCATTCCTTCTTCTTCTAACTTCTAATAATATATACACTCACTTCCTTAATTTCTGAATTACTTCTATTTTTCATAATTTTAGCTTACCAAATCAGTCATAAGAGTATTCGAGAGATGATAACTTCTTTTTATTATTGTAGAAAAATAAAATAATATTACGATAAAAAATATTTTTTTCTTAAATTAAACCATATATCTCAGTTTTATTTTTCTCTCTCTTTATTTAATTTTCTGTGACCACTAGCTGGAGCATAACTGCTAACAAACTGACCCTAAATCATTAGTCTTCCTACCTAGGTTTGACCAAAAGTGAACTCTCACCCAATTTCTCAAATCAAATTACTTTCTCATTCAGTCCAAAGATCACTGGAAGTTACATTTCTAAGATTACTAGTATACTTACATAAAATAATATGTTTAATTGTTATATATTTTAAACTAATTATTATGTAAATTAATAAATTTATCTTTATTTCACGATGTAGTTTTTTATTTAGTTAGAAAAGTCTACGTTATTTATAACAATTTCATATAGAACAATATTTTTTCATAAACTGATAGCCTAAAAAAGTAGCACAGGCATCATTGAAGAATTTGTAAACTAAAAAAGCAAGAAGTATTAATTTTAGAAAACCTAAGAAGTTGTTTGTGTAAAGAAAAGTGCGTTGGAAAAGCAGAAGGAAAGAGGTATTATATAAATTTATTTGCATGAATTATTAGTTTCCTCCTTAAGTTAATTGAATTGAAGACTTGGTACATTGCACAGACATAGGTTATGCCCCACTTCTGAGTTTATAACGAATTTTTGGTAGTTTGTACGTGTCTTTCCTGTGTCATGTTAAATGAATTTCTATTTCAAAATTTAAGATCAAATTATATAATTGAGTGTAAATTTTATTATATAAATCAGTTTTTAATTTTAAGTTAAAAACTAAAAAATAATAATACAATACAAAATTATCTATTTATTTCAAACGTGTATTTATAAATTTTAAAAAAAAATAATTAATATTAACCTAATCATAGTCTAATAGTATATAATCACATTTTACTTCTAAATTCATTAACATTAAAATTAACTATAATAATTTATAATTAATCAATTTATTTTTTAATAGACTAATTTTACTGATGATACGTTAGATAATTTGAATAAAAATAAGATATATAATATAGGATAATGATACTTTGACAACATTTTTTTGACAATATTTTAACATCATCTACGTGTCATTCTGTGATTGATCCAAAATTATTCCACAATCAATAATAATAATCATAAACACTAACATGGTCCAATCATAGAATGACATGTAAATGATGTTAAAATGTTATAAAAAAATGTTGTTAAAGTATCATTATCCTATAATATATCATATCATCTTAAACATGTTACATGCACTCGCCAGAAAAGTGATTAAACTTATAAATAGTTTGAGTGTGTTTAATTATAAATTTGATTTCCCAGAAGGAATGATATCAACATAAGAATTTACAAAAGAAGGTATGAAAAAAGCGTTAGTCTTGTCGTAATAATTCTGGCCATAGTTGCTTGCTGGGTTCCAATATAAAACAGCAGTTTAGAAATATTGAAAGAGGTTTTTTTGTGTGTTTTGGTGAAATGATGGATTTGGGGTATAGATTGATAATGATGAGAATAACAGATTAATCACTTTAAATTATGATGATGATGATGCATGGACCATGGTGTCGTGTCCCATATGCTCCCCACGCCTTGTTTAAAGCTTCTTAGGACATCACTGCTTTAATTAAACAACTACCTCAACGGATATACTATAACTACTTCTTTTCTGCCTCTTTTTAATTACTCATTCATTAAATGAATAATTTTCCACAATCCAAAATTTAATATTATATGTACTAATGAAAATATTCTCACAATGTAATATTGCTTTAGTAATATTTATCTATCCTCATAAATAAACATGTCTTTAAAAACATACTTTATCAATAATTTCAAAAAACATCAACTATGATTGAAATTCCTTTCATCTAATATTGTATGAATGACATGTACCTTTGTAAAACTTTTTATTTTAATTTTCTAATTAAACAATTTTATCCTTTAATAAATAACATCAATGTCTTCCTTTAATAAAATATGTCATTGTAACCCAACTATTAAGAAATTATCATATGATCTTTAAACTTATTGCATAAGCTTTTTACATCTATTTTAACAAAAGTGTTTATTTTTCTAAAAGTGAGAAATTAATGGGAGGTGTTTGTTGCGAACTATTGGCACAGTGAACAAAAGTTGTAAAAACTTGTCTTTACCTTATAAGATAAGCGAATGCAACTCCCTTTCACTCAAAAGGGATTCTCTTTCTTCTCACTACTACCATTTCCTTTCATCTTTTGTTAAACTAATATTTAGTTTAACTCGTAAAATGCCTCACTAATTTGTTTCTTTTACAAATAAAACGATACTTCCCGTTTAAAAAAATCATTTATGCATCCATTGGGTAAAAAAAAAACTTAATTTGTTAATTAAATCATATTTATCTTGAATTTGTTTTTAGCATGGTTTTTCTTAACTAGTATTTTATCCCCTAGGTTATAAAAGTAAATTTATATAATATATGTATAGTTATGTTAAATTGAGATGAGCCAACATGACTACCATGAGTTCGGATCTTGAAATTTCGATATGAACCAATTTTAAGTCCGGTCAACTTGAGTTAAATTCATGATGAGTCGGGTTAATTTATAAGTCCACTTAATTATACTTTGTGTTTCAATATTATTAGCTAATATTTTTTTTATTATATTGTAGATAAAAATAAAGAAGATGTTTCAAGAGAACAAAATATCGTATATTATTCTAATATTATAAATGGATAAGTGATATAAAATTAACAATGTTAAATACCTATTTGTTTTGCATTTTGGGCTTCTTTTTTTATTGTGTTTGAAGTTTAAGATGATTTTGGATTGTATTGTATTTTTTTCTTTATTTTAAATTGTCTTTGGAATTTAAAATCATTTTGAACTGAAATTTATTTTAGATTTGAATTAGATTTTTTTTTAATTGAAAAAAATAATAATTAAATGAATTAGTGAACCAACATGTTTAATCTATCAATTTATGGTAAACTAGATTGAATTCAAATTTTTTTAACTCATTAATAAATGAGTTGAATTAGATTAGTTCACAAAATAATCAAAGTATAATGGATCGAGCAGAATCGAACTGAGCAGCCGAAGCAATATATATATTATTATAGTTTTATGATAAGATAAAGGATAGTAGTACTTGAATGCCGTAAATTGTTGTGTTCCATCTTTTCTTTGATTTCTTTTAACTTTTTGTTGTGCTTTAGTTTTTGTGTGCTTTAGCTTTTGGTGATGGGAGGGATTGAACTTTTGTATATTATGGACTTGTTTTTCGAAGTTAAATTTTCCGACAGCAGAAAAGTCGTTGCACACGAAAGTCATTTTTGAGACCGGGAAAGTTGAATTCCATGCTTACTAATTTGTGGTGTATTTGATGAAGGAAACAAGTTACAATAATTGGAATTGGACATTGACCTAATAATATACATTTGGACCCTCTTGACCAAGTCATAGCTCCTGCACATAAACAGGCAATTTTAGTTCACGCATTCATTTTCACCACAAACTTTTCATGTAGCTTTTAAAGATAATCTTACCTGGGATTGGGGTCCATAAAACAATAATTTACGTGTTGTATTGTCAATATTCTCACCAGATATATGTAAGTCTGTTAAAAATAATTTAAGAGCACGAGCATATCTTAAAAGAGACACAACACAGTGTACTGTTGATAGAGTTGTAGCACAACTAAACATGCACAGTTACTTTCATAAGATTCATATTCTTGAATTGACTACACTTTATCCAAATTTAAATACCCGCATCTTGTAATTAATATTTCTCAAGCATGGCAATTCACATAAATTTAAAACATGTTTCTATAATACATTATGTACTGTCTAACATAATATATTCTATTTTTTTTTTTTTGAGAAATTCTAACATGTATAATAATTTTATATCGTTTTATTAGGAGTCAAAGTTAAAAATAATTCAAATACATATTTTTTTCTGTAGTTTTTTAAAATTAAAATAAGTAATAGGTCAAACACAATTTAAATATATATTTTTCATATTTTCAATAAACTTGAAAATTTATTCATATTATTTCAAAGGATTTGAAATCAAAATATTAAAACAAAAAGAAAGTTCTAAATTTTAACTTGGAAATAATGAAAACATTATTATTAAAATGAATTTTCTTTTCTTTTAAACCTTAATTAAGATTTATTTTATTATACTCGATTATTTCATATTATTTAAAAGTTATTTTAAAGATAATTTAAATATATATTTATTATCTTTGTTTTCTTAACTCTCAAATGTGCAATAAGTATAAAAGGCATAATTTTATTTTGTTTCTTAATTTATTTATATGTCAAGGATTTGGGTAGCCGACTATTTAAAAACTTCCAAAATCATTTTTTCTTCCATGTTACTTTAATGACAAACCACGTTAAGGTAGCCAGAAAAACAATTAATTCATCACATATTTGTGCGTTAAT